ATTCAAATATCAGAGTTCATATTTCAAAAAGCTCTATATTGGAGGCAGATCTCGACAATAAAATTGACTCAATTTCAGTCCATAGAAAAAGAAAATATATAAATTCCTTCACTTAATATTAATAATGGATGTATTACAACTTAAGTACTACGTTTGTGCTAACAAAATAAATGTTAGAATATCAATATTGCCATGAAAATCAAATTGCACATATCCCTTTTTTATCTTCCTATTTCCAGTCTCCTTATTGCTAAAGGTGTAAAACAACAACAGATCCTTGCCCTAACATCTCAGAAACATCAAAAGAAATGTCCATTTTCTAAGCCTTTGACACTACACTTTGAGGTAAATATTGCAATGCAATGAGTTAGAGTATTATTATTTTGAAATAAATTCAAATAAATAAAATGCTTACAGTAGACATTAATATTAAAAAAAATTTTTTACATTCCCATATAAAAATACCTTATACCGTTAACATATAGTAAGTCTAGTATGATTTAGTTGATGATGTAGAGATAGATACTTCAAACATGTATTTCACATAGAAAGCAAAATCTCTACTGCACTAAACTGATGACATTGGTTAACAATGGGAATCCTAATGCAGAATAACTGACAGTAAAATGAACACAGCAGCAGATCTAAATGTTAACAGACTTGTATGTGAGGAAGTCCCGCCATGTGGTAGGTAAAGTGGTTTTGGACAGAGCCAAGAGAGATGCAGGACCCAAGTGAAGTGTGAGTGCTCGGCGACACACACTTGACAGTTTTGGGGGCTGTCTTGTAGCATCATGAAGCAGGCTCGATTCCTCCTGAGTCCTGTACTTGCACTCAATCACGCCACCATACATGAATGAGGCGCTTAGTACGAGCACCAAGCGGCAAGAAGAAAGAACACACAGCCCCCAGGTGGCATCCCTCCCTGCTGACCCCAAAGGTGTATGCCCCAGATGGTCCTCTGTGTCTGTGTCAGCACCAGCCGTCAGGAGGATTCGAAGGAGGTTGATCCGGTGATCAAGGACAGCAAGGTGCAACGGAGTATGACCCAAGGAAGTCGTATTGCCCCTTTGTTCCATACTCTAATGCTGCTTGAAGAACACTCTCTGCATCACATCTGCCATTACGGACAGCAATGTGAAGGGGCGTCTCTGTGCTGCGGTTAGTTATTCCCACAGCAGGTGGATGGGCTGAAGCCAGCTGCCGCACAACATGAGCTGGCATTCCACTTACGTCCACAGCATAATGCAAGGGTGTGTTGCCCATATTGTCAAGTAATGAAGGGTCAGCACCAGCAGACAGCAGCAACTCCACCAAATCAGCATTGCCTGAGGCAGCAGCATAGTGGAGAGCTGTGCGATTGTCATCATCCAAGGTGTCTACACATGCACGATGGGACAGGAGCAATTCCACCAACTCTGTTAATAAAAGGAAAAAAATTTACATTAATTTCTTCTTTTGTTTCTAGCTGATGTTCAAATCTAGCACATCCTAAAACAGCTTTTCATCACTTAAAAGTGTGTCCAAAACTTGGCTATTAGATTCACCACTGAAATTGCAGGGAAGTCAGTAAGTATGCAAGAACTGAGTCAAGAATAATTATTATATCAAAAACATAATATCAATGAACTTTTTGCAATCCAAAGAATTCCATATATAGATGTAGTATGAATCAGCATATACAAATGAGAGAATGAGGTATTATTTATTAAGTCATTAATAACACTGATTTCATCCACCCATATTCCTAGGCTAAAACTGATATATCCTGATGATACTGAAATGTTCACCGAGCATTTGTCATGGCTATATCTGGTTGTTTCACAATGCTTAACAACCTTCTAGAATCTCCAGCACTACGGGACACCTTCAAACACAGCACACAATGCAGCAGAAGAGTCTATTGATAAGCTAGAGGCTATAGATGTGTATCATATGGCCTAATTGGTGGGAGATTGGGATATGCATCAATCCCTGGTGCCCTGGGCTTAGATTCTGGTAAGGAGGGACAAAGAATAGCACATAAAAAGTCTTGCAGAGGTCAAGTGCCATTCCTTTGTAAAAGACTGTCATGCCTACCAAGCCCAGAGAAAGCTGCATTCAAAGCCCACCCTACAGATGGCAGCAGTTCATTCAGGGGATAGAGATCATCTCAGTTCATGTTGGAGTATGAGGCTTACTTATTCTGAGCACTGTTACAAGGCTTTGCTACTGACAGCTTTGAGACATTGTAGAACACTACCATGAGTTTGGACATGGTTTGCTTGAAGCCTAAACTGACTGCAAGAAGGCATTCAATTTGGTACACTGTGAATCACTTTGGAGATCTTGAGATTTAGAGAAATTCCTGCAAAGTAGGCTTATATAGCCTACTGGCACTGAAAGTGCTGTAAAATGTAGAGGGACTTGTCTAACTTCTTTCTTGTGAATACAGGAGTGAGACAGAGCTATGTTATTGCCTTTCAACACGCATGAACTGGATGAGTGGAGCTGTCATCCAACACTGGGTAATAAAGTCATGAACACTGAGTTTGCTGACAATATTATCAACTAATTCAAGTCTCCTTTTGGTGGCTCTTGATGTATTCACAATGAACTGAAGTTCTTGAGTTGGGAGGACTCTTGGACCAAGACCAAGGTCCAGGACTTTGGAGGTCTGCAAGAACTTGCCTATTTGATGTGTACTTGTAGAGACATCAAAGTCACAAAGAACTTTACATATATTGGTTGTATACCCTGGGCTGTCAGACAAAGAAGTCTGGTCATATGACAAGAGCCAAGAACTTCCTCAATAAGAGCAACTGCAAATGTCAGTACCTGTACAGGACCAAGCAATGTATATTCAAGGCCCTGACACTGCTGGTTCTGCTGTAGGGTAGTGAAACCTGAATCCCATCATCCACTTTGGGAATCTTACTTTGTTGCCTTCTTGTGTTGAATCATGGGGTCAATGTCAAGACTGCATGTTGAACTGTGAGATTAGCATAGGAACTATTATTTGCACTATTTGCAGAATCACCAACTCGTGTCCACTAACTCCAGTTAGTGGTTGGTATGATCATTTCATGTGGATGAAAAGTTAGGCAATGTCTTTCTTTGTCAAAACTGCATGCTAGGGAGGGAAAAAACAACACAATATATCAACCTTTAAAAATAAAAAATCCCACATTTCTCACATTTGTCATCTAGATTGAATTTCTACACTTCTCTATTGGAAATATATCTATATGTAACATGCGTTTCTTGCCATATACCTAATTTTCATTAAAAAAAAGCAAATACCTAAAACCCTGGAATGAATGTCATGATCCTTAATTTTTTTTTTAATAAAATGAGACCAACCCCACCTGAGTCAGTCAGGGATTGTGACCTAAAAAGGGCAGGAAGGAAAAAGACGTGAATTTCAAGGTGAAAAGAAGCGTATCGTCCTGCCCTTGCTGAAGGGCAGGTGAATATGAGACTGATCTCTTTTTCTTCTGAGAGATAGAAGACTGAGATGAAATTTTGCCAATTAAAGTCTTGCATCCTATTCATAACCCTCAAAAATTGTGCATTTTCATTTTAAAAATCCTTTTTTATCCTTATCATGAGAAAAATTCAAAAGGTGGAATAGAGGTGCCTTGAGCACTACCTAAAAGTATTCTAATAAGAAAGCAATAAAGAAACAAATCATATCAAAGGAAACAAGTCATGCATAAATGTTCCAGGTGGTCAGTGCATAAATGAAATCTCAACAGATGTGGGATGGTCACTGCTGCTGTCCTTCACCCTTTATCACCTGAGCTTTCACCTTCTCTTATGCACTGGGTAATAATATAATTATAAATATATGATTACTTATACTGATGTTATCTTAATGACAAATATTTACAATGCTTGATGCAGTTGCTTTTCCATGAATTTAGTCACTTCTGCAAGGAGTGACAATTAATTCATTTCAATAACTATTGAAGACTGAGCTTTCATATTCATGACATCGCCATTCAGCATCAGAGGTTAAAATTCACATACTTGACACTTGGCAATTCTAGAAGATTCTTCATGAAAGCACTGCACCTATGAAGTCAGAGAACATGGCAATAATTTTTAGATTTTCAATAAATCAATAAATTTTTCCTTGGATATTGCCCCTTGACAAAGCTCATGGTTATAAAGGTTTCATACATATAGGTGGATAATAAACACTTAACATTTTCCCTATGATTCTTCTTATTACTTCTTATTGTAAAACATGCAACCTTACACAAGGCTACTGGTCTCTGATTCCCAAGGGTTCTGACCTAATCCACAAAATCTCGCTCTTATCACAAAATATTTCCCCATGATTATATCAATGAATGAGGGGTACTGCAAGCCAATACATCTCCTCTGAAGAGAGAAATACATCAAGTTCTAGCTTTAACACAAAGGCCTGAAATGCTGTGAATGGGACTGCCTCTTACCACTGTTTCCTCTCATAGCGGCCAGATGGAGGGGCGTGTGGTTCTGGTGTGTGCGGGCATTGACATTAGCTCTGGCTTTAATCAGCAGGCCGGCCAGATGGATGTAGGTGTGAGAGCAGGCTATGTGGAGTGCAGTCAGTCCCTGAGAGTCACCCTGGTTGATGCTCACCCCCAGCTCCACAAACAACTGGACTAAAAAGAAAAGAAAAATATTAGAGGACACAAAACAAAAATAATAATAATAAATGGAAAATATCTCAAGGAAGAATAACTCACATCTTCTCTCTCTCTCCTACTCCCTCTCTCTCTCTCCTCTTCTCTCTCTCTCTCTCCTA